TCCAGCAAAAAAGTAATATCTATGACATAAAAAACTTTTCGAAATGATAAAACATTGTATCATTTTATTGTAGGCTAGCCTACAAAATACATTTACATGTCTATGGATCAAGTTTGGCCAGTTTGAATCATGATTATGAACAAAAACAACACTTTCAAAGATTTTAAGGGAACATCCAATTGCAATTGAATGGTAAGGAAATATTTTGAGAAAACTTAAAGTGGAGCTTGAAAATTTAAGGTTTTATAGGTACCTATTACTTAAATATGTGGTTGTTAAAACAGTTTCACTCCGTAAAAATTTTGGTATCTTGATTTGAAAGCTTATAGCTTTTACTACCTCAAGTAAGGTTCTATTTTTCCGTTCAGCCACCTCATTTTGTTGGGATGTATTGTTGCAGGAAATTTAACGTATCATCCCTTTTTCAACAAAAAAATTTTCCAACATGGTGTTAAATTTTTTTTTTCAATTATCGCTTATGAAAATCTTAATATGAGTTTGAAATTGTGTTTGAGCCATATTATAAAATCTTTTGAACACTTTTTTCAACTTTAGATTTTTCTTTTAACAGAAATAACTAAGTAACCCTAGTGTGATCAACAATAAATGTGACAAATCAACGTTGTTCAGTAGGCGTTACTACTTTAGAATGACTCCAAACATCATAATGAATCATTGTGAAAGGTGCAAACTTTTTATATGGTTGTGTCTGAATAACAGTATGATGATGCTTTGCTAATTCACACAATTCATATTGAAAATTAGAAATATTTTTATTTATGAACAACTTTGATAACAAATATTTTAAATATGAAAAATTTGGTTGTCCTAACCTATAATATCATAACATAATCTTATTATCACTAAACATAGAAATAGAATTGAAACATGTCTCCTTGTCCTGTCTTTCAAAAAACTGATTTGCTGTTGAGAATATAGAGACCACCATCTTATCTAACATCCCCACTCATCCTTCCCGAGGTTAAATTATGAAATTCATAATGAGAGGACTGAAACTTAATTTGACAATTATGATAAAAGGTTAATTTACTGATGGACAACAAGTTATATGATAATTTTGGAATATGAAGAATATTTTTTAGAATTAACAAAAAAGAGGTAGACACTGTCTTTTTTCTAGCAACCGAGGCAAAAGAACCATCTGCAATTTTTTCCTTTTGGTTCCCTGCACATAGTGAGTATAAAGAGAAAAAATGTAAAAAACCTGTCATATGGTCGATGGCTCCTAAATCCAATATCCAAGAGTTGTTAGAGATTGAACAAATAAAGGTTGCAAAAAAAAAGACTACCTGACTGTACTAAAGAATAAGAAAGACTAGAATGAGATTGGAACATTTTGTAAAGATGTTCTATCTGTTTTTTTTGTGAAAGGTAATGATTTTGGAGAAGATTCTTGTTCCAAATAAGAGTTGCCAGCTTGGAGAGCACGGTTGTCTTCCCCTAACTTGGTGTTGTTGTCTGGTTTCTTTTTTAAATTTGTTAGTTTTCATGCAATTTCTAGCAAGTTTCTCGAGTATGCTAAGATGTCTTGTAATGATCACACCATGGCTGTTGTTTTTCCCCACACCTTTCAGCATCTGTACCACGAGATACAAGTGTTGATTCTTCACCAATTTTTCCAAACTCATCACTACTTTTCAGCATCATCTTTCGCCGAGCTTCCCCCCATCATACTTCTACAAACACATTCCTTATTGTTGGCAAGAGTTTTTTTCCAAGTATACGACCTCTAACCTCATCTAATTCTTTGTTTAAGCCAGTCATAAAAACAATTACACGGTTTCTTTCAATTTTATTCCTATATCGAGCTCCATCATTAGACCTTTCTCAAGATTCATCTTCAAATATATCCAATTCTTGCCATATTGTCAGCATATAATTATAATAGGTCGTTACCTCACGATTACTTTGTCGCTTTTTTCATATTCACTATTCAACTCATAAAGCTGGGAATGATTATTTAGATTTGAATAAATCCCGCAAACTGCATCCCACACCTCTTTCGCTATTGGCAGAAACATAACAGGCTTTCCGATCCTTGGTTCCATGGAATTAATTAACTATGCAATCACCATTGAATTTTCGGAGCGCCATTGTTAGTATTTGGAATCACTTGAATCAGGTTTGATGATTTCACCATTCAAATAACCTAATTTTCCTTTATTGTCAATCGCAAGCCGCACCAATTGAGACTGTAGAATTTTGAGGAGGAAAAATATTTATTTTATTTCCTTAATGTTTTTAGTATAACAGACAACTCATATATATACAAAATTTCTAAGTACTAATAGGGAAATTACCCTTATAGTATGGATACTAAATAATTACATCTGTAAATGTTTCTATCTTAAGGTGGTCATTTCTGGAGAAGAGTAAAC